TGAAAGTTTACTGTAGTACAACACTGAAATAAAGCAGGAGTTTAGCTCTCAGAGTTGTTAGCACTGTGGTCTGTGCGTGTGATCAAAAGATATATGATTCTTCAAACCAGCGTATCTGAATATATCTTTGCAAATCAAAAGGAAATGTAAACCTTTTGAAGAAAAAAACACATCTCACTGTATGAAAGCTAAACCTTACAGAAGATCAGCTTATACTACAGATACCAGTGGATTATTTTAAACCTGTGGCAGCTATTGAGATTCACCATGATGTTTTTGAAGCAATAAAAACCAATAAAACCAGCCGTTTTGTCCCCCACACCACAAACATTCTGGATACACAAATTCAAGAGCACAATAATTCAAAAAGTACTATTTCCCAGTGCTTCTTAGACTGCTGTATTATTCATTTGATTTTCTGACATTTCACATGTACCCCAGAAGACAAAATGCACAGCAAGAAACAGGAAAACAGCTGGTTCACAGAGCACAACGTAAGAAAACTAATATTCTTCCACTAGAGTTTAATGTTACAAGCTGCATGAGTCATTCCACAAAATTGGTGGCTTTTTAATTTTGAATAGATTTTTCTGTAATTTTATTTCTGATTTTTAAGAATGTCTTTTAAGTGATAATAGGTTTCATTATATAACCTCAAGCAAACTTTTAAAAAAAAATTCATGTATGCTTTAAAGCTATGACTTATACAATAACAGGGTTGAAAGTTTTGCAGTTCATTTATTCAGTTCGAGCCTTGAGCCCATGACACTACAAGGTGGACAGTAGAAGAGAATTATTATTGATATTTCTAAACATATTCTGTGGTTTACGGAGCAAAATCATAGTAACAGAGCTCAAATTTACCCATTACTGACAAATCTAACAAAATATTAAGTTAAAACTATAAAAAGAGAGAGACGCTTGCCCTTTGTACGTTTTCAACGGAATTGTAAATTATTTTAACAACAGGAGTTATGATGATAACATTGATGCATAATCTGGGTTATGCTTCAAGCAAACCAAATCTTTTTTTATTTTTTTATCTTCATTAAGCAAGAAGTAGTTTGAAACACAAGGTTGGGGACAGACCAAAACATGCATCCACATGAATAAAGTTTCTGGATTGTTGATTGTGTAAAAGAAATGTCTAGCCTATTATAAGTTACAGTAAGAGTTAGTGACAGCTTTTCACTGTTAAAGTCATTGTTTACACAAATGTTTACAGGGGACACCTTTCTGTGGAATGACCATCCAGTGTTACAAAACATCCCTGCGCTACTTAAGCGCGGCGCGTCATGCTCGCGCTCCAAAGGAGTAAAGTAAAGACTGCTAACCATACCTGCAGAACTCTGCACCAGTGTTTAGTGATTTTACAATTCTTTGAAAGTATCACATATCTATACGATTGCTGTTTTTCTCATGAACTCCCCATAACAAACACGTGGACCTCTGGCACGGATAGAGGAGCCTTGAGGACACATATTAAATCAGTTCATTTTAGTGCTGTGATTTCACCACTTCTCACCTCCGTCTCCAACTGCACCAGCTCCATTTTGGGCCATGGTTCTAACAGTTGAGCAAGTGGCATTGTGTAGCCTACGCTCCTTCTTGTCTCTCTCAAGTAGCCTACTCAAATTTGGACGAGGATTTCTTCCGAACCCGTGTATTCCCTGCAGAACGACCTGATCTTTCCCTTTGGATCAGGAGCAAACGGGCGACTTTCCTCTCTTACAATCCGCTCAGGAAGCGCATAGTCACTCCGTAGAAAATCGAAGCAGTTATTCCCGTTTAAATGACGTTGACGGATTCTCCTCTCTGTCCGGTGAGGAAGAGGAATTGCACAGCCCCGTTCCTGGAAATGAACAAATCTCTCCCACTTACTCACACACAGGTGGACTCGGGTTAAGAGGACCATGCGCCGTGCGTCTGCGGCGATGAAACACGTCTCCTCCGAGGAAATGAAATAAAAGATGTTATTGTAATGAGGTGGTTTCTCAGCTGACACTCACTATCGGTGTGCACGCAGACGCAGCAAAAGAGGAGCCGATGCTGTCAGTAGTGTGTTCCGCTCTGAACCGAATCCACAGTGTAAAAGCGAATGAGCTTCAGGCAATCATTGGTTTGAAGACAGTTCTCAGCCAGCCCCTTTCTCCTACTACCCCTCTACTGACGCCCCTCTCTGGCCACTAACAGACACTGCAAGTTCTCAGCTGTATGATCACAACCAGTTACAGTTACACTCTCGCAAACGTAAATGGATACATTTAAAGCTACACTTCGCAATTTTTAAATATAAAAATAACAAAATGTTATTAATAAGAGAGTGCAAAGAAATTTTTTTTACCTTTTTTACTTTACTCAAATACACGTTAATAAAACAACATCCTATTAACGATTTGTATTAGAGCTGTAGGAACGGATTCTGCGGGAAATTGCATGCATACGTCATCCGTGCACAGAGTAGCAGAGCAGAGTCAAAACAATAGCTGCGTCCGAAATCGCATACTTCCATACTATATAGTAGGCGAAAAACAGTATGCGAGGCGAGTAGTATGTCCGAATTCATAGTATTCGAAAAACAGTAGGCGAGAAGTACCCGGATGACCTACTACTTCCGCCCGAATTCCGTAGCATGCATACGATGGACACTTTACTATCCCATGAGGCCACGGGGGAGGAGGCGTCATATTCGAAAATGGCGGAAGGCGGCGACGCGGCTCTTTTCAAGTGTAAGTACCTCAGGGAAAAACGTTGTTCATTGTGGTTAAATTGCACTTGTTTAACATGATCTAAGTGAACGGCTGACTTATTGAAAGTTTAAACATTGTAAATCGATGAGATGATTTCGTGAAATCGATGAGATGATTTCGTGAATCGGCTGTAAAAAGATGTTTAATCATTGTTATTAATGAGCACATCAAGTTAACGAACAGATCGAGCTAGTGTCAATGCTGTTGTACATCAGCTTGCTAACTGCTTTTTTAACGGAGACGTTCGTTGTTAAGCAGTTTAATGAGATTAGAAAATTAAATAAAAAAATTCCCCCTCTTTTACTAATATTTAGTTGATATTTTGTTAACTACATTCTAAGCTACTGTTAATAAATATGCCACAGCTTGTCAATGTAGCATTAATGGATTGATAATGACTAATGGTTACTACTTTGACATTACAGGGACTGATGAACACACTCAGCTCCTTATTCAGTGGAGAGCGGCTAATGAAGCCCTCTTCACTGGAAAGCGTAATGCTGCCATCAAAGGTTTTGAGTAAGTAAACAAGTTATGTAAAATGTACTTTTATTCAGGTGCTGTTGACACTGAACGTAGTAAATACTAACACTTCAAGCAAAGGTCTTACTGCCTTCATTTCATGCTTGATTTATGTGCATTTATTGTGACAGA